TTTTCTTTTCTTTTCTTTTCTTTTCTTTTCTTTTCTTTTCTTTTCTTTTCTTTTCTTTTCTTTTCTTTTCTTTTCTTTTCTTTTCTTTTTTTTTCTCTTCTCTTCTGTTTGTCTCTCTTTAGTTTTCCTGATACAATATCAGTACTTCTTATAGAGTGGGTCTAGCATTGGTGAATTCTTTCAGTTTTTGTTACTCTTAGAATATTTTTATTTGTTCTCATTTGAGAGATAATCTTGATGGATATAGTATTCTTGGTTGAAGTTGTTTTTTCATTTAACACTTTGAATATATTTTCACCATTCTTTCCTTGCTCGCATTGTTTCTGATGAGAGGTCTGATGTTAACCTAATGGGATAACCTTTGTAAATAACTGACTGTTTCTCTCTTGCCAATTTTAGTATCTTGTCTTTGTGGATTTCACCAATCTGGCTCTGATGTGCCTTGGAGAAGCTCTTCTTGGGTTGATTCTTTGTGGGGTCCTTTCTATTTCTCAGGTCTGGATATTTGAATGCTTCTCTAGGTTTGAAAAGTTTTTTTTCAGGATTTCATGGAATAGATATCAATGCCCTCACTAGTTTCTTCACCTTCTGGGATACCTATTATCCAGATGTTTGGGCACTTAATGGTATCTAGTATTTTTCATATGTTATGCTCATTTGGGGTGGTGGTGGTTATTTTCGAAGTCTTTCTGGTGATTTTTTCCCCTAAGTCAGAGGCTTTTTCTTCAGTCAGATTCAGTCTTCTGCATGGTCTAATCTGCTTTTTATACTTTTGAGGAGGTTTTGATTTCCTGTATTACAGCTTTTATGAGTTCCTTTGTACTGTCTGTGGATGATGGAGGGTTGTTCTCTTTCCTTGGGAGAGAGATATTTTCTTAGTTTCTTGTATTTCTTGGGCCTCTGTAGTGTTTCTGGTCTTCTGATGGGTTATCCATTTCTTCCTCGTTTCTTGGATTTAAATATGAGCATTCAGAGGCATGCAGGAAGAGGTGGTCTGCAATCTCTCTGCAGGTCCATTTCCCTGATGTTTACCACGCAACCTGCGCTTTAGACTTT